TTTATATAATATGTTTTATTTTGTTATTTTTTTTTTAAGAAAATCATATGAAATGTATTATATATAAAAATAAGAGAATAAAGATATATGAATAATAATAATAATAAAGTCATTTAATCCATTCAGTAGGCAAACACCATACACTTAATTACACAGTTGACAAAAATAATGACGGAGGAAACGAAAGTTTTACAAACAATAACAAAATATATACAAATACACAATAATAAGCATCAATCAAAAATATCATAACTTTCAAAATATTTTTTTTAACTAAGTTTGCTATGCTGAATGGATAGGGCCTTTACTCAGCTATGTGCTTATTACAGTATAGCAATAAGCGCGTAATAATAATAATATAATAATAATGCGTTGACATTTATTCAATGGAGGTTAATATCCGACGAGATACGGTCTGACACTGTCAGAAATCAGAGCGACCTGAGCCGACACCGGTTTAATTCCCGCCCACCGAACACTTCCTGACGCTGCACCGTAATTTGCACAATTTCAATTTAAAGAACGAGTAAAATAAATAATTGAAATTCTACTCATTATTATGGTTGCATAATATGAAGAGTCGCAACGCGGCCTACAGGGACAGGCAATCAGCTCCGTGTGGCATTGGCCATGTATACGTTGAGCCCTCGTTAGCATATATTTTTTTAAAATATAAATACTGTATAAGACACGGTACATAAGGGCTGTAAAGAGTCTTTCATAATATTTTATTTCATTTTTTACTTTAATATCTTCGATCTTTTTACTACTTAGGACAAAATTATTTTGTCATCTTTGTTACTAAAATATCGTATTGGTAAAAAAGATCTTTCACTCTCGAATGGTTCGTATTTAAAATTATCAGATTTATTTCATTATCGAGATAACTTGACTTTCACGAAAACACCTTTCGAATTTCAGAAGTGTTGTTTCTTAAGGTCGTGAAATAAAAATAGAAAAGAAAAGTATAGCATCAGGTGACGTTGATTAAACTAGTCTAGCAATTTTGTCTGGACCAATTAGTACTCCCTTTGAAATATTTTAACGTAATAAAATGGATGAAGGCGCGATTGTTTAAAAAACTCTGACTTTAAGATAATGCTCGTGTTTCAAAATGGTTTGATATAATTAAAATACTTTACTTTGTAACTTTAAAACTTTTGTCTTTGCTATTTAAGTATAATATTTATGTAGTAGTAGCTTTCGCCTGCGACTTCGTCCGCGTGAAATTAAAGAAAGCAAAAGTAAGTAGCCTATGTGTTCTTCTAGCCTCTTCATCTGTGCCAAATTTAAACGAGATCTAGCACTTTAGGTTACAAACTCGAACTAACATTTATCCATCCATTTTAAGCTTTCGCATTTATAACATTAAATAAATAAATAAACAAATAAATAAATGAGATATCTACAATTTAAGGACGATCCATAATTAAGTTATAATAATTGAATGTTTCACCCAAATTCAGAATATAAATGTCATTTTGCAACGTAAATATGTAAGATAAAATACGTATATAAAATGATTACATAAACTTTGGCTTTCTTACATTGTATTAACGATAACAAGCTGATAATAATATTGGTACACGGAATACATCCCACTGCGAAGACGATGAGCCTGCAAATTTCAGTTACGCAAGTACCTTAGCTGTTTGCGTTCATTTACACCTGGGGGACTGTCAAAGTTATATGTGTTGAACCTAATATACTAGAGAAACTACGCTTTCATTTTTATCTTTTTATGATGCCTTGGAAAGATATGTCTAGGCTTTTTAAAGTAACTAAATATCTCGTCGTCAGCACAATTAACCACGATTTTTTTATTGAAAACAATAATTTTATTAGAATAATTCATTTAAATATGAATGTGGAGGGTTACATCATTAGGGATTAGTTTAACAACTGAAGGATGAATAATTTAAGGGTGATGTGATCAAGAAGGGAGTGACTACAATTATTGTTTTGACTAAATATCTCTTTAGCTGACTGCATATTTAGAAGAGATGAACTACTTAAAATTACTAGTGAATGTTTGTTACTATATCATCGGATTAGCTCAACTTTACTACAGATGTAGAACATAATCTGGCACACATGGACTACTGTTTAAGGTTTTTAATTCCGCGCGGAAGGAGTCGCGGGAAACAACTAGTTTAATACGATTTGAATGTGA